AGCATACTTTGCATCAATGCCAATTATATAAAACTACCAAATAATTATTTAATTGAGTAAAATAGATCATGATTATATATGATAAATTAATTAATTATAATAGCAGATTAGAGAAATGTCTTGAAGAAAAAAACATAAATAAATAATTATATTATGAAAATAATAATTTAATAATGTATTAGTTTAGTCATTTATATAATACGTATAATTTAATAATAAAAATTAATGGAAAACGATATTATTTAGGAAAGAATTAAACGAAAAACCAAATATTAATAAATTCAGAAAAATTGTATATGAAGGAGCAATTAAATATGCAGCTTGATGTGTAATTATATTTTGAACTTCAGATTAAAACACAATGAGCAAACGGAAAATAGACACTTTAAAAGTAAAATATTTCAATTAATTTGAATGTTAGTAGACCGCTATTATAGTAGCCGAATATTATATAAAAAATGATTTATGATTGTTCTATCAAATTTAATATATTTGCAGTGCAAATGAAAAAATCAAAATAATATTTGAAAGTACATATATACAAATGTGTACTTAGCTATTCATATATCTATAAAAAATGATTGTAGAAAACATTTTAATTCACAAGAATAAGAATAAAATGATTTTTGAAGTTCACGCAATCTCGATGACTAAGTACATTAAAACTATTAAAAAATAGTCTGTCACATAATATTAAAATAATTTAGATCAACTTGTTACTCAGTAGTAGCTTGTAATACAAAATTTAATTTCCTAAAATAAACGGCTTATCTTGATAAAAAATAATCAACATTAACAACATCTACTTATATATTATTCTATATGCCTATCTACCTATCTGTATATATGTGCACACGCGCGCGCGCGCGCACGCACACGAAAGTATATGCAGGCATAATTCGTAATTTGTTTTTGTAAATTTATTAAAACATCTTTCAAAGAACATTAGCAATTAATAATAAGTATAGTGAAGAGTATAATTTTATAATAAAATTTAATTACATGCGTACATATATATATTTATATATTTGCGGATAATTTTGTTTGGCTTTTAAATAATTTTCTAGCGCTTTTACTATGAAATAAAACGCTGAGTAGAAATTAATTAAACCTGATACATTTAATTTCAATAGAATTCTTTTAATAATTTAATACTTAAGGTATGTGTTATCTTTCATAAATATTTTCTAACGTGATGATATATAATAATTAAATATAACGTGGAACAGTTTTGCTGAGCTCTATCGTGATTAAAATGGCTTAATTATTGAAAACTGTGTGTACAGAGTTGGAAAACGATGTACATTTAAGGATTATCATAAGGGACTTAAAATAATGAAATATTAATCAAAATATATCGAGAGTCTTAAGTGATAAATTTTTATATAAGGTAAAAAAAAAAAAAAAAAAAAAAAATTATCGCACTTTTTTTATCCATTTAATTATAATTATAATATAGTGGACTTGTTAAATACCTTTTTCCACTTAAAAACCATGTTTAAAGTGTGGACAAATTCTTCGGGATCAAATTACTATTGATCAATTCTATAAGTATGAGAATATTCACTGAGTCTATGGTGTAAGTATCAAATAGTCACTATTTTATAATGTATCTGAAACAATATGTACAACGATACTGTACAATAAATTCAGGATGTCTTCTTTAGTGATCAATAATAAGCAATAGCACTTTTAAAATTATGTTAAAAATTGCACCTTGAAACTGCAATATAGTTAAAATTACTTAAAAATTTGAGTTATCGAGAAATGCATCGTAAAAAATTTAGGTTACACTTCTGCATAGAAACCCGAGCGATATAACTAGTAAAAATTGTCTATAATAATGTAAAACAACACACTTTACGTGGAGCACGTTATTTATAAAAGATTACGAGTATCGATCCTTCGATCAATTAGTTGCGCATAATTAATTCGGGCCAATTATGCCCTCGATACACAAAAGTATTAGCGAATTATGAGAATTTTAAGCAGCGGTACCTATAACCGGAAGCATGGCAACTCTCACCACGCGTAACTAAATAGTAACAGCATTGTAACAGCACGTTGAGTAACCGGGGCTGTTATCTGGATATTTGAAAGGTAGTTCACGCGGCAAACGGCCTCTGACATTTGTGGGGTGAGCGCGTTTTGGGATCTCCGAGTTCCCCGATAAACGCTCGTTCAACGTTGGCTGTCCTGTGCATGCCCCTCGGTGGCTTCCAGTAGTCGCGATTTGGCTAACGAGAGTATTTCGTAGATTTTTCATGGAAATGCGGAGCGCGGTAGCCGATGTCGCGCCATGCCACTAACGATCGCGACGTGACGATGGTCGCGGGGAGTGCTGATAGGCGGTGAAAGGACGCGAGCTGCGGCGCTTGCGACAAAGCTCGGCGATGACGGTGTCAGGATCGAGGTGATCCTCGGGAGCGTCTACGAGATGAGCGCTTGGAAGCTTGTGCAGAGAAGATGCTACGATCTCCTATCCCATCGCTATTCGCTCCTCGTTGTCCTCATAGCTCTTACCTGCATTTTTGTCGGGGTTATTCACTTCGGTGAGGTTAGTTCGCTGATCTTTTGTCGTTTATTCCGAAGGGCAATTATCAATGGCTTCTTTCAACGATATATTGATAGACGATCGATTGCGAATCATTCGGTAAAATTGTGATTCTATCGTGCCAAGTTAATAATTAACGATATTACAAACTAGAAGCTCTCTCTGCCTTATAATTTTAACGTTCTTTACAATAGCTCTATTTTCTTTTAATATTGTCTTTGCTATATTCAGATCATATTATTATTCTTACACTTTTATGTCGGATTTTATTATTGCTGTAGAGTGAATTATTAGGCAATATCCTCATATGCCAAGGCAACGCTGCCAAGAAAATAATAATAATAATGCAATTGTAAAATTATTCCTTACAATTTAGTTGTTAAATTTCGTTAAATCGATTAATATTGGTTAATTTTTATCGATTGTTATGAATTTAGGTATGGATAGCGTGGAGCAAAGAAAAGTACAAAGCAGTATTTCATTCCTTCAACGACAACATTCTTGGTATATCATTTCAAAGACAACTTTGTCAGCATGTTCCCATTGACGTTGTATATACTTGGGTCAATGGTTCAGATCCGCAGTTCCTCGAAAATTTGAAGAAATATGTTTCTGCAACGAATGCCAATAGTGCAGCTTCGAGATTTAACGACAAAGACGAGTTAAAGTATTCTCTTAGATCTTTAGAGATGTATGCCCCATGGATAAGGAAAGTATACATTGTCACTAATGGTCAAATACCAAATTGGTTAGATATGGATAATCCAAGAGTCTCTTTAATTTCTCACAAGGACATATTTATTAACAATAGCCATTTACCAACTTTTTCGAGCCCGGCCATAGAAAGCAATATTCACAGGTCATTATATGATCTTATAATATGCACTTGTAACTATTATAAATGAACATAAATCGCAATGATCAATGCATATTTGCAACAATTTTTTCTTAGAATTCCCGGTCTATCTAACAAATTTCTATACTTTAACGATGATGTAATTTTGGGTGCCGCTGTTTGGCCCGAAGATTTCATAACATGGGCCAATGGACAGAAAGTTTACTTAGCATGGTGGGTCCCAGACTGTTCGGATATATGTCCATGGGCTTGGGTTCAAGACGGAGCCTGCGACCCCACTTGTAATACAACTCTGTGCGAATTCGATGGTAGGTACCATTCATTTTTTAACGTTGGTTTTCATTTCATTTAAGTTAAGTAAAATTAATGTTAATGTTAATGATATATATATATATATATATATATACATAAAATTTCAAATGAAATTCAACTTATAATTGTTCTTTTGAAGGAGGCGATTGTGACTTTTCGTCGTTAGATGTGACCGAAAAAGAGGCAAACGAAGGTGAAAACGATTATCCGTATGGTTTTTTACACGAATCTCAAACTGAATTGGACCGAACGAAACTCCAAAATACTCTAAAATTTAAGGAAAAATTAGATATTAATATTAAAGAAAGTAATAATTCAAATTTTATAGCTATTCGCTCTCTACTTTATCAACATAATTCATGGAATAATTTAAAAGATTTTGATGCGAATAATATGAGATTAAAAAGCAAATCTAAAGTTTTGTATAAACTTGATAGGAGTACCGATAAAATTAATAGAGCTATTTATTCAACTGAGAAAAAACATGCTCCTATTCCATCGACCAACGGATCTGGTAAAATTGACAAACGAACGCTAACAAAACTATTTGTAAATGATGATATTATAAATTTAGTACACGAAAATGAATCTGCAAAAGGCAGTAAACTCGAGTATGCGGGTCGCCAAAAGAAAAGACCTCGAAATCTCGATACGTACGCAGAGTCACTTCTATACGTAAATAAAATTTATAATAAAGCTTACGGCTTGGAACGTCGTCGAGTACCTGCTCATATGCCTCATTTGTTAGATAAAACCGTTATAATTGAAATGCAAAAAAAATTTTCTAGAGAATTTGATAAAACGTCGAGCCATCGTTTGAGAAATCCCGAGGACATGCAATTCGCCTTTTCTTACTTTTACTTTTTACTCAGTGAAAAACGTCTGGTATCGGCTGAAGAAATATTTGATGCATTTGATACGGATAAATCACAGCAAGTATAACTTAGGCGTAATTGAACTTTAATACCCATATGAGATTTATTAAAATATAGATGTATTTTAGGACATGGTCGGATAGAGAAATTCGTACGCTATTGGCAAGAATGTATCCATTGCCGTTAGATTATAATTTAGTTATTAATTTTGAAAGTGCCATAACCAATTGCTCCCGTTTAATTGATTTGCAAGATATGTCTACAGTTTCTCCGCCACCGGGCGAGCGCTATTTGGACTCTACTTTGGTAAAAAATATTCGTTCTTTCGTTTTCCATAGTCGGGCGATTATTCCATCGTAATAATCCAATTGTGACATTTTTCAGCCCACGGTCAGTCGGGAACTAATTCTCAAGTGTGATTCAATCGTCAGTAAGATGCGTTTCAAATTCGGAAAACATGGAAAATATCCGCACAAAGTAATCGAAGCGGGAAAGGATGAAATATTCGAAATGTTGACCAGCAATATATCAACAACAGTGAAGTTACTAGATGAAATTCGAAGCAATCCAAAGTACGTTTCCCGCAATAGGAGCGAATCAACTAGACCGATCTAAAATCGATTTTCCTCTTTTAAAATTTCATTTTAAAATTTTCAATGCCTTTTCAGAAAATTCATATGTCTTAACGACGACATGGATCCAGATCGAGGCACCGAAAATGAAATAATTCGTGATCTGCTCAACGACTTTTATCGCTCTTTGTATCCGATACGCAGCAGTTTCGAGCTGCCCGCTCAATACCGTAATCGCTTCACTTACCGAGATGAATTATTAGAATGGCGATCCAATCGCGCCAGAGCACGAAATGTGATGTTACTTTTAATAGTATTATTAGTTATCCTCACGTTTTACCACACGTTTCGCTATAAAATACGGAGATTCTGCATAATTCGTACGCTACCCACTCTACTTGTTTAGTATCCGAACGCATTTATTGCCAAATAATTTAACAATACTCTAGTCAGGCGAATGTGAATCCTACGAATGCATTGTGTTGATAAAAATAATTATTTATGCGTACAAGCACGTACATTATTATTATTATTATTATTATTATTATTATTATTATTATTAGTAGTAGTAGTAGTAGTAGTAGTAGTAGTAGTAAAAGATTGTCTTTATTTCGATTTATCAAAGTTAAAACAGAAAACGTTTCGGATCTTATACAATAGAATTTTAGAAAGAAAAAAATTACATTAATGTAAGAATAACAATGTAGTATAACAACTGTTTAACAATACATCATTCACACCAAAAATTCTATCTTGCAATATATAAAATTCTTTTGCTTTATTTTCTCTCTCTCTCTCTCTCTCTCTCTCTTTCTCTCTCTTTCTCTCTCATTTCTTCTCATTAAACTTCTGCGTGCTAATTCGTACACGGCTTTTTCCCATGAATCTTGAGTTCACGTGTCTGTTAGCAGACTACTGTTGGACGACGTTGGTCTACAGCAGATGCCTGTGAGCGGTGGACAATTAATATGTCTGATATTGCGAGGCCCGACGATCCCTTCTTGTCTCCTTGAGCACTCGGTCATCCATATCGCCACAGCCGTCACTTCCTCGGGCAGGAGTTGACGACCAATGCCTTGAACAATTCAAACGATGTATCATCGTACACCTACACCCACTCCCCTCCTCTCATCAACATCAATCAATGTATAATTGTGAATAGGCAGTAAAGCGATATAAGAAGCGGAAACTGAAATTAAAGTAATGTATCTCGCACGATTGTCTCTCATAAATAGCCTTTTCGAAGTATCTTGTAATTATCATTGCGATTGCTTAATTACTACCAATGGATTGGTCAAATAGCAAAATTGATATACATGAATGGGCGTAGTTAGCACTACGACGGTATTGTGTCATAAACGCACTTATGTTTTAAAATTTTATTGCCGTAAATGAAGGAAAAAAAAATATATATATATATATATGAACGTTGTGCTATAGGCACCTGGCACATCCGGATAATTCGTAAATGCATCGATAGATTCGCTGAACTGCTCTGAATCTTCGTCATAACTCGTTTTGCTGCTCGATTTTTTCGAATTCGTGATCATCGATTGGCTCGCTTTAACATCATCACAGATTTCCTCGACCTCCACACTCGTAGTTTCTATCTGGTTCAACTCCGGCTGCCCAGCGATTTCTGAACTCTTGCTCCTACTGGAGTCAGTAGACTCGCTTGATCGATAACTCGCCTCACCCTCGTGCCGAAAACTTTCCGCCGTTTCCTCGCCGAAGCTCTGCAGCGCTGTGTGTGATTATATTAATTTTATTAAATCACCTCTTACGCATTATTAAAACTCAATTTGCAATTACATATACACGAAGTCTACCATTTCATTGAACTGTCTGGTTAATCGCATTCGACCTCCCGAAGAATAAACTCACTTATTTTTGATTGTACGTCTTCTTTCGACAAAGACTCGAGCTCGTACTCAACGTCCACGTCGGTGTCTTGGCTAGCCACGGAAATCGGTCCCTTCGGAATAACCATCACTGATTCTAGTGTAGATTCGGGCTTCAGCTCCGACTCGAACTCGGACTCTGACTCTGACTCTGACTCGAACTTCGCGTTGAGCTTGGATTTGGCTTCGTCTTTGGCTTGGAGTTTCGAATTGTTCACTGCGCATATGCAAATTGACTCACTCTTTGCCGATCCGTCGCACCTCAAATCCGCGATATATCTGCAGTTAATTTTTATTTAAAACATATTGTTTGAAAACGGAAGGAAAATAAGACTAACAATTCTGCTATCTTGTAAGTGTTTGTATTTTTGTGAAACAATGATCCAACATTAGCAACAATTGGGAAAAGTTTTTTTTTTTTTTTATATATATATATATATATATATAATCGATACATTGTCACATATATATAAAGAGACGATTGGGTGTTTGTCAATTACTTTGGACAATAAATTAATTAATGAAAAGTATAACAATTTTATAAGAAACGCTTTAAACTTTTGATATTTTTGCCAGTAATATAAGATTAATTATATATATATAACGTAACACCAATTATTATTTAAATGTGAAAGCTTCTGAAATTCCATAGTTTTCAAATTTATATTTAGTTGTAATTTAAAAATTTTTTTCTCCGATTTCCTATGAATATAGATATAAATGAAAGCAATTAAATGTATGATTAACGTTAAAAATAAAAGCTTAAATTGTTAAATTACAATTTATTATTAATTGAATAGCTTTTAATTCTGCATTTTTATGAAACATATAGAATATTTAATCAGCGTTAAAATTTTAATTGTAAAAAAAGCAAATTTGTGATTATTTTTTAAATTGTATATAATCACATTTCCTATATATATATATATATATATGTCGTGATATATATGTTCAAAATTCAAAACGATACTCTATTATTAAAATGATGTCAGCTTTATAAAAAAAATTATCGTTAATAGTTTTGTATTAATGGAATTAATATGTTGTATCATATTTATGTAATATATTATACAAATAAGTTAAAAAAAATAGGTGTAGTATTATAGATTTTTTACAGAGAAAGCACAAAAAATAAATTATTTATTTGTTTATATTTTTGCATACAAACACGCACATCATGTCTAGTTATTTTATCCTATTCTAGTTATGTATGCATTATTATGAAAGAAGAAATTTGAAACTTAACGATCAAGAAAGAAAGAAAGTCGTAATTAAAATATAAGCGTTTATTATTAATATTAATATTATTAAAAAGTACGGAAAATATATACGTCATACGGATTAAATCAGCTTGTTAATAAAAATTTTTTTTTTAACAACGGTAACATTCCATCAAACTGCATCTTTAAAAGCTTGTAACGCATGTTTTACCTACCTGTAAGTATCCATGAATAAACTGTAAGGAATCATTGCTGATCCGCCTTCGGGTTCGAAGGTAAAAAGCTCGCAGACCATAATCATTGTTTCTGTAATGCAGCGCGTCAGTAAACCAACAGCAATCACCATGAATTTTTTAATCTGACATTTGTTGTGGAACCTGCCGATCCTCAGTATCATATCGAAGTCTCTTTTGTCGAGGCAAAGATGCTCCCAACGGGTCAGTATTGTTTCCAAGCGGACTATTTTATTATAATCCACTGTAAATAGGGAAAAAGCATTTACAATAAATTACAACACCCTTATTGTACGATATTATATATTTAATAAATATTCCGTACTCTCAGTTTACTTCAGTACTTGATTACTTAATATATATTTTTGTTTCAACGATACATGGTGGATTGCACAAATTGATTTCTTATTTTTTTTTTTAATTCTCATATTTCAAACGATTAGTAAGCCTTACGCGAAGTTCTTTATATGTCTACAATAATGTAATCATTCAATGATACAGATTTAACTAATATATTTAAATAAAGTAAATATAATGAATTAATGTATGTGTATATGAAGTATATCGAATTATCACATAACAAAGTTCAAATTTTAAATTATATTGAAAAGATACTATCGATTCTAGAATTATATATTAGTTTTTAAATACATAACCAGAAATTATTACATATCAAAAACTGAGAACCGAAAGAATGTTATTTTTACTACTTATTCAATTGCAAAATTGTTTACTAATATTTTATCTATTACAATGTTATAATTTATGATAATATTTCATTAAACAATTAGTTTTAGAATTAAAAACTTTATCTATCTATTTTTCCTTCCCTATTTTGACAAAATACATTTATTTATTTCTAACGTTTATTCCTTCAAATTAAAAATGGCAAATAATTTATAAATGTAAAACTAAAATTAGTGGATGATCTTATCATTGACATAGTAATTTATAATTTTCTTTAAATATTTATCTCGTATGAGAATTATCAACTATGTGATTTTGTTTTATAAGACATACACAAGCTTAATTTCAAATATGAAATGCATATATGGTACAAATTTGGTATAAATTAGTAGATTGTATGAAAAAATTATCTTCGATACATTTGAATTAATTTTCTTAATTCAAATAGATTAACATTTTTTACTAAAAATAAAAAAAAACCTTCCTATTTGAGAGTTGAAATATAAAAAATAATAGAAATCATTATCAAAAAACGTCGGCTTTGTTTAAAAATCTGCCAAAATTGACTGAGTTCATTGTGCATGTACTCCAAATATCAAAATGATTTTATTTGAAGGACAAAATATCGAAATCGGCATTATCGCTATATAGAAGGTATCAGTATTATAAAAGCTAATATGTAGCTTTATGGATGTCTAGATTTAAATTAAATGTTTATTACATTTCAGATATTAAATAACTATCTTTAATTTAATCTAGAACTTTGACATTTTAACATTTCATTTATAGCATTTCACTGGAAAAGAAGTATAATAATAAATAAATAAGAAATTAGAAAAATCAGTAGAGGCAGTGTATTGTTCATATATTTGTAGAAATTTTTATCGATTTAACTTTAGAATAATTTAGATTGAATAACTTTCAATATTTCTTATAATAAATGAATAAAAATATGAATAATCGTGTACGAATAAATACTCTTCGCCTGATAATACGTTTCGTACAAACAGAAACAGTCACGCTGGTTAATATATTTTTACATTATTCTTGATTTTCCATCAATTAACGATCAATTCTAATCAATTTCTTCATCATACTTCCAATAACATTTCAGAATCAATAACTACAACTTATATATCACATAAAGCCATTAAATATTTGAAAATTATAGTAATTAATTGTAAAACACGCAAGTTAGCGAATTTAGGAATTTGGATTTTAAGACACAAAACGATATGTCATTACAAAAGGTATTGTTAGGAAAGGAAAGTTTTTGCAATACTTTATTAATGCAAGTGAACGAATAAAACGATATTTAAAAAATCACGTATATCGTTATAATGTCAAATAGTACTAAATGGTAATTGATGATTTTAAAGTGTATTTACTTATCGTCAAAAGAAAAGAAAAAGCTCTTTTATCCTTTTTTTTCCTCCTTTATCATAAAATTTAAATCCCCGTATTAAGCGCACATAGTAATTCAGTCGACAAGCAATTGGTATCTGGAATGCTAACAATCTCGAAAGCACTTAGCCAAAGTGGTTGCGAAGCAATAAAAATCGAAAAAATCTAAAAAATTGAAAAGCCGGATCTATATTCGCAAAGTCGATTTGTATCGTTGAGCGCAAACACCACCACGCGGAAGAAGAAAATTAGGAAACCCAATATGTGATTGCCTACCGCCAAGCTGACGGAGAAGGACCTTCAGGAACCCGAGGGTGAGTCCATGTGCACTGCTCGCGGGCGGATACTCGAGTCGGAGTTTCGTCGGCGGTTCTTCGCCATCAGCGAGGGCGTGAAAGTAGGCGCTCGACCACTTGAGAAGGTCGTATGGTTGGGTACGTATCGCCGATTTGCAGAATTGCTTAAGGATCGTTGGTAGCTTCGCTGGCACGTTTATCTGCTCGACACAGTAGTCCGTCTCTAGGAGGGGCATTGCTCCTCGTAACTGCCACGCGATCCTGGATAGCCCTAACCTTCCATGTTTGCGCCCTGTAAATCGCCTAGCAACCAAGATGTCGATTGATTTAACCTTAGCAAGTATGACACGCTCGATTAGGTTTTATTGTTTAGCGTGGAATATTTTACTCGATCGAGGAATTGGTGAACGTGGAGTCTGTCAAACCTATGGGTTATAGAGGTTGAACTGGGGAGTTTCAGTGGGATCAATCGATTATTCGAACATACACTTAAAATATATATTGAATAATGTAGAAGAATCGCGAAAGCTTTTCTTGCATTGATAATGAAACGCAGTAGTTATCGGAGTACTTTTCATACTTTCATAATAAGCATACACTATTTAATATCCCATTTAAATAAATGCGTTTTTCATCGCTTCTTAGTCTTCCTTTAAAGATATTACTACTAAACATTTCCATTGCTTGATAACCTCTTTTGCGGAAGACTTTCTTAAAAAATCTTGCATATTTTTTAATAAAAAGAATTTTCAAATCATTGATTTATACGTTCGGCAATACAAATTGGATAGGCAAAAGAAAATGTTGTGTCTAAATCCAGAATTTTTCTTAGTACATTAAAAACAGCTTGCTGTTCAACAGGAAAATACAAATGGGTGTATTATTATCACTATTATTATTTATTAGACATAATGTAAGATGTTCACAAACTTATGCATAAAGTACTAAGAATTTCTTATCCTATTCATGACTAACGGCAATTATTTTTATGTAGGTACAAGTTTTAAAAAGCTTTAAAAAGAATTACAAGCAAAGAATTTTCTGCTTTCTATTAAAATAACTAAAACTATTCCGCGTTTGCAAAATTCAAGGCCTAAAGATAAAATGCTTTGGAAGATATAATTATGTAAATAGCAAAAGTCACGCATGCAACCGCCGCATTTACATATATCTATATATATATAAAAGAAAATGTAAGATGCAATGCGTATTACATAAAATCTTTGAGATAAATTAAGCATATCGTGAACAACGCATATAGATAATCTAATTCATTGTTATAATGGACGAAATAATAATAATTATCTAAGATCCAATAAAATTGGAAAAAAGATTAATGAGCTGTGAAACATTTATTGCAAGAAATTTGTCATAGTTGTTACCCAAAGCTTTAAACTTTGTGTATACTATGTATACACAGTTATTGTTTGCGGAAGCTCTTTCTTTCTTTTTCATGTCTTAATATTTTTATCATAATTCCACTACCATTGCGAACAATTTTTTTTCTTCTCGACTATCAAATAGTTAGAAACGCACGATTTGCACTATGAAAGATGATAGCTCTTGACATTGAAATTTTTACAAGATGGATTTAAAATTGTTTTTAGCTCAGGGAAAAGTCATTCGATTTATCCATTCTATTGATCTATTATTTAAGCCTTTTCTAAGTATTCAATTATTACAAACTACAATAACAATCTTTTTTACATTTGTTTTTTTTTTTTTTTTTTTTAAGAAAATTAATATTTAATCGAAACAAATGATAAAGCGGCAAAGACAATCGACGTAAATCGAATCAACTAATAAATTCTTTTGAGATAGTCAATAATTGGATATAAAATATCAAAGATCAAAGAGCTCTAACTCTGAAAATATTTTAATAATTATTTTTGTCGTATTATACATTAGAATAATATATATTTAATGTAAGGAAGTTTCATAGGGTAATATAAGAAAACTCCATACATTTTATAGGATGTAATTCTTCTTATCTTTGCCGAAGTTTAAATAGTCCCCTTTACGTCAACATATCGTTTAGAATCTCATTATGGCTTTGATTTGCCAAATTGATTGGTCAAAATTATTATTTGCCTATTCTATAGTTTTTTTCTTCATTGATCATAGAACGAAAAATCATCAATCGAAAAATATAGAGCGAATTTTTACTATGCAAAACTGTTTATTACTATTATATTATTGTTATTGTTGTTGTTGTTATTGTTATTGTTATTGTTATTGTTATTATTATTGTTGTTGTTATTATTAAGGAAATTTGATTAGTATAATCTTCATTTTTATATTCTTAATAATTAATGTTATTCTTGAATTTATAATCGAAGACTCAAATACAGCAACTTGAAAAAAATTTAATGTATAAAAATATGGATTATTCATGAAATAAATAGTGAATGTTTAACGAGGCGATTACATGCATCTCGTTGTTTGATTGAATCATTTTCTTTATTTTTCACATCTTAGTTCTGATAACATAATAATAAATTTATATAATAAACGATATGCATATCGATGCGTTTAAAAAAAGTACATCGTAAATTGTGAATTTTGGATATTTTCAAAAGCAAAACAAAAAATAATGTAATATCTAATAAGATAAATATGTAGCTCGTAATTTTTAAATACGTATGATATCGATAAATATGCTTAATAAACTGTCCTCGCTCCTCATTTATGAAAAGGCGTATCAATTTTCATTCCAGTTGTACCATTACCTTTCAAAAATTTGTTTATTCGGCAAAAATTCTTTTTAAACAAATTTTAAATAATGTTAAAGTAATGCGAAAGGGTATTATAGTTTATCAGATTTTATTAGTTCGACGAACCTAGTAACAATACTGTGCAACGAAGATCAGGTGAAACATTTCGTTTTAACTTTATTCATAAAAATGTCAACGTATGACTATAATCGCGTGCAGCTACTTTTGTTCATTGGAACTAAAGAACAAATTTAGCGGGAATTCGAGTAAACCGACAATGTGTGCTTGCCTCGTGGCTCTCTCTCTCTCTCTCTCTTTCTCTTTCTCTTTCTCTTTCTCTTTCTCTCTCGGTCGCACAAACACCCGTACACTTATTCGGTTTCAGGCTCGTGCGCCATCTAGTGCTTGGGAATAAACCTTCGTCCCATATCCGACAATCGTCGCAGATTTCCTCCAACAGCTAGTATTTACTCTCGACTCCCCTTTTATGCCGTCACCGTCACCCTCGGAGCTCAAGATGCCTCAGCCTCGCTTACACAATCTCGGCTGTTGCGGTAAGAGACGAAAAATCGGACACGCGCCGCTCGTGTCCACGTGGTGGCGGCTTCGTCCACGAGAGTCACGCGCTTCCGGCTGGTTCCGCGAGCTGGCGCCATGGGCGTCATCTCCGACGAGAAGCACCGCGTGTTGCTCCGAAGGAGACCGGAGCGAATAAGAGTCACCCAGAGTCGAACGCCAGAGGTTCGTCTGTTTGGATCAGCCGTTAATATCTCTCTCTATCTCTCTCAATCTCATTCTATCTGTCTCTCTCTCTCTCTGTCTCGGTCGACCGTTCTCCCTCCTTCTCAGACACCCTCTCTCTCTCTCGATCTCCTTCCGCTTCGTTCACACTCCCGTCCCGCAGTGGCTAAAGGGGATATAAGGCGCGCGCGGCAGGTACAGTCAGCGTAGCAGCAGCAGCAGCGGCCGCCGCCACCACTGATCCTCGCGTTCCCTGAAAAAATATTCGGACGTCGCCGCCGTCACCAAGAGTTCCATCACAATGGCATTATTCTTCCGCATCAACAGTCGACGTTGCCTCGAGCTCCAGGTACGTTGGTAATCGGCCACCCGCACAACAACGGAGCGGATATTGTTGCCTTCCGGCCCTGAGATGCACGCGGCGTCGTGGCGCGTCTCCCCTCCCACCTCGCCTAACCTACGTCGACTTTTCACTCGTTCCATATTCGGGCGATTTCTGTCCTAGTTTAAAAGTAGCATGTTTAACCTTTTGTCGGCCAACTCACCTGTAATTCGCTCTCGACGACGTTCTATAAACTATCGTCGCGCACGCGGCTTCTCCCTGTTTCTCTCTCTCCCACGGCTTCGCACTCTCTAACGCGCTCGTGCTTATCTTGCGTTTAGCACTGGTTTCTTCACGCGTCCCCCTATTATTTGAAAAATTCAAATCCATTATTCCTATCACTCGTTCTACAGTTCGCTTTAGCCCTTTCCCTTCCATTCCCCCCTCCCTCCACCCTCTCGACAAATCGATCGAGCTTTTGAGCATCAGCTGACGCTTGCAAGTTGTTGGCCAAGAGTCACCGAAAAAAAAGCTACGAATACTCTCGAATTTTGGACTACTCTACTCTAATTCCCTCGCAACCGCTGTCTCGCCCCCTCTCTCTCTCTCTCTCTCTCTCTCTCTCTCTCTCTCTCTCTCTCTCCCACCCCCTCATTCTATCCCATTCCCCCTCTTTACCTCTCACACACGCACGCACGCACGCACGCACGCACGCACGCACAACCTCACCGACCAACTACTTGCTTCCATCATCAACCGCGCTCGCGTTCGATCGTTATCATTGCGCGGCACTCGAGGCGATTATGTAATTGCGTAAGGGAGAGCTTTCGTTCCAGCACCGATTATGCGAGATTCGTCGTTGTGAAAAAACGCCAGGCGGAAGCGCAAGTCATACTTGTCCTTGTAGTCTACGTGGAAAATCCGCGAGATGTCAATTGCATAACGGTGGTTTTCGGTGAGTGGTGGTTGATGGGTGGTGGGATGGGTGATGGCGATGACGGGGTGTGGTTGGGGGAGGGGGGGGGGGGGGAGGGAAAATTGGGGCGACAAAATACCTTACCGTAGCTTTTCCACCTACTCCTGCCCGAATAGGTAAGAGCGCGGAACGCTGGATAAATGGTGGTATCGTTAACCTTGTCCATTTTTACAGCATTTAAATCGCGCCGATAAGAGCCGTGAAAAAAAAAAATAAAAAAAAAAAAATTGTTTTCTGGGAAATCTACATCATTATCGCTACTACGGGCGCACGCACAGTATTTGTCCTAGATTTAGAATTATCCGACTGGCCAATTGATAAAACCACAAACATTTTGCTTTTTATTGGCACGCATTAGCTTTATCGTGCCTCGTTCGTTCATATTTGACAATGAAATAATGAAAGTCATGGCGAGGAAGTGATTCGAGTAGCTCTCAGATACGGTGCTCCTACCTTTTGTGAGCCAACTATTCGAAATAGCACTTTGTTTATTCGAAGGAAGAATTCGAAAATTTTGTACTTTTCTTTGGGTATGGATTATTTATAATTAAACATGTTATAAGATCGTAACGAGTTTCGAGTGAAGCGATACCGTTACATTTCTCGAGTCATTTCACTATTTTTCTTTCCCTTCATTCTACGATTATCTCTTCTAATTATGCAGTTTAATTGTTCGAGTGGCTGAATATCCATTATCTTTTCAATTTAGTGTCAGATATCAAAATATCAGATACTCCGATACTTTGTGAAAGCCGATAATAAATAATAAATTATTGAAATTCCTTTTGTATATTATTTCTAAGATTGCCGTTTCATTTTCTTATTTTTCTTTTCTTCTTTTTTTATGTCTTATCGAAAGCCGTCCCCGTTCAAACAGGGTGAATTTATTCCGGACTAATCAATTTTTCGGCAAATTATAATAGCCTATCAGATTTTGGCGGACGAGAAGTAGTCATTAAAAATGAAACTTTGGTGTGTAGTTGAGTAAGCGTAATATCTTCAATGTTTTCTGATATTTCAGCGTAGACCTTTAATTTATTCAAAACATATCTCGTTACAATTTAAATGACAGTGAGGTTGTCCCTCTGTATTTTAATCGATCCAGCTGAGTCAATCATCACCGCCTACTGTCAGTTGGTTAAAGTGTATTATTAATGTATTATTATTATTATTATTATTATTATTGTTATTATTATTGTTGTTGTTGTTGTTGTTGTTGTTGTTACTGTTGCTATTATTATTGTCATTGTTATTAATATAAAATATTAATATAGGGAAAAAATAGAAAGACGCGTGCGTTTGTCGGATAGTTATTTCAATAGTTATTATACGGAGCGATAGCGTTATTTTGATTGCTGATTTATTTTGAAAACACTTTCAATAATAATCATTCGTCTGCTCTGACCCTAATCATTCCCATTCAAACATTTGAAAATACCAACGACCGCGGAAGCAAACGCGACGCGTTAACGAATCGGCAATGTCGTAAGCGCGCCAAGACCTTGCACCAATACACTTGAAAAATAATGATAAAACGTGCTTTTCCACGGAAGGTAGGACAAAAGATTGTTGTAAATTTTGCAAAGTACATTCTATATATATATATAAGATTAGCGTAGGCTTGTCCCCCCCCCCTATTTGGCCTACAATCGAGGGTACAATGATTGAGATGAATTCTCAATGTTCGGGAAACGCTAGATATTTTATGAAAGTTAAGAGAGTAAATATGTACCAAGTACCTTTCGGATCCTTAGTTTCGATTAGTTTCTATCAGTTATGCACATCAATTAATTCCCAACACTATCGATACTTTTATTTATTATTATTGTTATTATTAACAATTATGATTTCATCGATTAAACGAATGTGTAATTGATATGCATTTGATGATAACTTAAAATTTCCCTTCTCCTATGGCGTTGCACATTGTACTATCTATGCTCTTGTCGATACGATTATAGTAAAATCATTGGATTTCTGCCTACCTTTTTGCATTTCAGTATCGATGCAGTATATATATATATATATATATATGTTTCTAAATATCAAATTAATTCGCATAAGCACAGTATGTGTAAAGTGCATGTGTCAGAGGTAGATTTAAATCGGGCCAATCTCATACTGTTATTTTCAGCGAAGGTAGATTAAAAATATCTATTTCCAATTTGTGTGTGTGTGTGCGCGTGTGCGCGCGCGCGAGCGATTTAAATCGATATTATAGTTGTTATAGTTTGCATAGGCTGATGCACGATAGTTAAAAATATTTTAATTCCTGCAGAATGTACGGCATTTCAGCATTAGTAATATTGCAAAAGAACTTCAGTAATTTATACATTATTATTATCGCGTAAATGTGCATTCATAAATAAAGCATTGATAGAGCAATATAGCTGCAGTCAGGGCACACTGAATAGCCCTTCGCGGAAATTTGGAAAGTTGCGATAAAAGAAAAACCAAATAATGAGGAACTTGCATTATTTAACGGGACTCGGACGTCGTTGGCGACCTTGTTCGCGCGCTTCCTCCCTTCTCTCGATCGTCGAAGCCGAAGATCACACGGTTCACGCGTATTATTATTAGCCTTGCGTGGCCCGAGAATTCCAAGCAATCCACGTATGTATTGGGTGAGTATGAATGTGGGGGGGGGGGAT